CTAAATTGTGTCCCCCCCCAATCCAGATGTCCGAGTCCTAATCCTCCATATTTCAGAGTGTGACCTTGCTTAGCAAACAGTCAAGACAAGGCAAGGCAGGAGCTGGGTGGGTGCAGGGGCAGGAATGGGGCACTGAGCGGGTTTTCTAAGATCCCGTGCAGATGGGGTCAAGGAGGAAGGCGTCCTGGAGCCCTCGGTGGCTTTGCAGGTCTTTTATTTAGATTTACCAGGCACACGGCAGGCAGGGGCGCTGGGGGGCAGGCCTCCCGGCCCCCAGCAAATCCTCCCTCTGTCTGGGCTCTCCGGCCTTCTCTCTGCTTTTCTTCTTCCTCGGCTTCCGTTTGTTCTTGGCTTCTGCTGGCGTCCCCGTGACGCCGCCCTTATAATCTCAGTCTCTCAGCCCAGGTGACCCACTGCAGGTGCCGCCATCAGGCATGCGTTAAGGACCACAGGGTTTCCTCATCTATCCTGATGGCGGGAGGGCAGAAAAGCCTGATACTTTTCTTTACCCTATAGTCGGCCAGAGATCCAATATGGTGGGTTTCCTTAGGAGAACAGGGAAATTTGAACACACAGATACAGACACTCAGGAGAGGCCCATGTGACAGCAAACTGCACAGCAGCACACCAAGGGACGCCAAGTGTTTCCAGCATCCTCCAGAAGCCAGAAGCAGGGAAGGCTTCGCCCCTCCAGGAGCCTCCAGAGGAAGTGTGGCCTTCCTGGCACCTGATTTCAGACTTCTAGACACCAGAACTACGAGAGAATGAATTTCTGCTCTGGCAGCCTCCTGGCTGGTGGTGCTTTGTTATGGCCGCCCGAGAAAACTAGGACAAGAAGAGAACAGGCCCCGTGCTCATCCCCGCGCCTCTCTGCGGGTTAAATGCTGCCACGTGTGAACAACCCAAAACCCACCCTGAGGGGATCCTAGATCTCCGCTTGCTCAGTAGTAGACACGCAGCACCCAGGGTCAAGGACGCCTAGCCTGGGGGCTGCACATTTTTAATTTATCCCAATGAACACTCGGGGCATCTTTTATGCCAGGTAGAAAGAAAGGAATGAAACACAGACACTGCCCTGGAGTAGCGTGCTGTTCAGTAGGGGAAGCAGACAGGTGAGTGGTTACAGCTGTGGAACCCCCATCCGTAACAGGTGGACACACTGATAAAAAAGATACGCACGCCATGCCGAGGGTGCTCCTCAGATGAGCCCGTGGGTGTGGGGAATTACACGGGGACACGTGTGTGACTTGGCGGCGGGCAGGGGTAGCTTGAATTTCACATCGAAACGTGTGCATTCAGCTTGCCGCGTGCTTCCCCAGGACAGAACGGCCCTTCGCATCTGCACACTGGAGTGGGTCTTGCAGAGCCGCCAGCGTCCAAAAGGACATCGCAGGTTTTCCTCTTTTTTTTTTTTTTTAAAGATTTATTTATTTATACAAGAGCTGGGGTACAGGCCTGATGCGCAGGAGGGTGAGAGAATTCACCAGAGGCAGAGTGGGGAGCAGAACCGGCAGACTGACTGAAATACACTGCTGAGGGGAGCAGCGGGGAGACAGGAGAGGTCTGCAGCACCATGTGGGTATCTTCCTGGCCAGCCGGGAATCAAACCTGCGCTGCTGAGGCTGCGGACAGCTTCACAGAGTGTGCTCAACCTGCTGTGCCACCGGGGAGGCCTGCAGGTTTTCCTTTTTTTTTTTTTTTTTTGTGGGACCCTCGCCGGCGGCCGGGAGGTTTTCCTCTTGAGATAAAAAGTGTTCCCAGCAGGTATATTCTACCCAAATTTTGAAACTCTTAGAACTGGGTTGTAGGGCGTGCGTGTGTGGGCGTGCATGTGTGTGCATGTGTGGGCGTGCATGTGTGTACATGTGTGGGCGTGCATGTGTGTGCATGCATGTGCGTGACAGTTTAACAGGCCTTTGGTAAAAGAGTCTGGGGTTTTGCTCTTAAACAGAAATTCTCCAACTCCTTTTCCAGTTCGTTTTGCGAGCAGGTCACCCAGATCTACTCATGTGGAAAGCAGCTGGCACTGGAGCACTCCCAGGGCCTGCTCACGGCAGAACCCTAACAATAGCAAGATCCCTGTGCCCAGGCACCCAGGCCTCGGCCTCGAGCACATCGGTGCTGCTGGAGAGAGAACCACAGGCTCCTGCTGGAGCTTCTCCCGGACTAGCTGCAGCGACGTGGCTGAGTCCTCGGGCAGGTGCCATGCACTGGCGCAGGCCGCTCCCCGCTGTGCGGAGCCGCTGCCCCTCGACAGGAAATCACGGTGATTCATTTTCACATTGAAAACCTCAGTGGTCGCCATGCAGTTTCCTCCCCCCAGCTCCTGCCTCTCACCGTCGTTGCTGCAAGTGGAATCCATCGAGATTGGGAAATGAGTTGAGAAAGGGGAAAAAAGTGGGAAAACATGTCCTTTGTGGCCGATGTGAATTGTGCAAAGGATTTTTTGTTGTTGGGAAGGCTGCCAAGAGCGGAGAAGACAATGAGAACAGAAAGTGATTCACCGAATCAACAACTTCAGTGAGGTGGAAGGGGAGACGGAAGTGGCCCTTGTGTTTGGCAAAGGAGAGTCCAGAGGCCACTGGAAAGGCCGCCTGTGACTCTGGAGGAGGGTGTGTGACATGAGGGGGCATCAGGAGGACAGAGAGGCTTCAGGCTTCCTGGGGAGAGAGGGAGGGTCGGCCCGGCCTCAAGACATGGCCTCCACCCTCCACACCTTGACACCAGCAGGTGCCTGCACTCCCGGAGGGAGGACAGTCCCGTCAAGGCCACAACCTGGCCAGGCCTGCAGCGGTTGTCCCAGGAGTGATCTTTCTGTCAGAGCTGGGAAGGCTGAGTGGACCCCCTCAGTAAGAAAACTGGGTGGGGTGCCCCTCACCTCGGACCCCCGGGCACTTAGTTCACCAGGCAAAGCAAGCTGAGGTTAAAAGGTGCCGTTGGAACAGTCTTGGGGCCTCATCCCCCAGCCCTGCCTGTGGATTTTGCAATCCCCTCACGCCACAAAATCTCGGTCGAGGAGGGAGGAGTCATTTCTGCGTCCTTTCGACAGCTGTCGTAGGTCCCCTGCCTGTGCAGGCCTGGTGGGGTATGGCGCGGGGGACCTGGGTGAAGACAGAAAAGGTTTGGTCTCATGAAACTTGCACCCCAAGGACACAGAGGCAAATAAACAAGGTCATTGCCAAGGTCAATGAGGGGTAGGAAGAAATTCAAATGCAGTAACAGGGTGATGGCCGAGGGGCCGCCTTAGTTTCGGGGTCAAGAAAACCCCTTGGAGGAGGTGACTTGAGCCAGGTCAGCTCAGAGAAGGGAGCTGACAAGAGACCATCCAAGGAAGAGCGCTGAGCAGGGGTGAGAGGAGGCGGCACAGGGGCCTGTTTGGCAGGAACACCCAGGATGACCTGACCGGGGCCACTCTGGAGGGTGACTTGGCCTGCCCGGGGGACAAACTCCTGCATATGACACCCCAGGAAGGCAATTGGCTTTTGCATTTGAGAAGTGAGGACTCCTCCCTGGAACTGTTTACATGAAAATTAGATGGAGGTTACTTGCAGATAACACTGTAACACCTGCCTAAGGAAGCTTCTAGGAAGAAAGCCTGGAGGGGTTGCCCTGGGACAGTGGTGCCTTCAGCAGATGGCAGGTCCCCAGGAGAGGGCGCCCCACTAGAGGAGGGGGCGCCCCACACAAGTCAACCAGCTAATCGGAACCTACCGAGACACTCCAGGGAAAAAAAAAAAGCACTTGACAGTTCTTCACAAGTGTTGTAGAATATTAAACAAAAGACTGTGCGCGCCTGATTTTTTCCCGGCTCACAGGGCGATTGCTATGAAGTGAAAAACTGGTTTAAGATTAAACTTCTAAATGTTCACTGTGGCGCAATTTCCTTAAGGACTCAGAACAGCAAAAGACCCATAAATGAGTTCATGAAAACCAGCACCTGGAGGGCACCCTTTGGGAAAATAATCTTTGTCACCATGTCATCTTTCTTTCGATAACAAGATTAGTAATTGGGGAAAATTTCAAGTTTATTGGAATAAGACCTAAGAAATAGTCATGTCTAGAAGGTGCTTGAAATTTCCATTGGAAATTTTACTGGTTTCCCTTTCACATCTTTAGAAACCAAGGAATGACAAGGGAAGTAACCTCAGCCTAAGCAGAAAATTCTCCAAATGTTCTGCTGTTTCTCCCTTCGAACAGGATAGAATATTCTGTTTCTGACTTAGAGTAAATGAAGGGACCGGTGAACCGGAGTCCACGAGGAGCAGCGCTTGTTTATGGGCACTGCAATTCAGGGCGGGGGGCAGCCTGGTGTTCTGCTTTGCCACACAGCCCAGGACACGCATGGTGCGCTGGGGACGCCTCAGCCCAGCCCCTCCTGTCAAGTGTTGGACCTTTGTCTTCTGGAAGGTCTCCCAGTACACTGGTGGGCTCACAGCCTCAAGACCTCCCCAGTTGGCCCCGGCCACCTGGCGCGCAAGCCCCGCTCACCTGCGCCCCCTCGCGGGACACCAGCTGGCACGGTGCCCTTCGCCTACACCTTGGGTGAGTGAGTGGTGAGTCAGATGGGTGCCAGGTGTTGTGGCACCTATTTCTAGCCCAGAATTGACGTAGTTTCTACTTTCAGTTACTCATCCAGCCAATGGGTTTGCCAAACTGGGTCTGAACATGGCTACAACTCTGGTATGGTTTTATGGGGGGCGAGGGGTAGACCTCGTTAGATGCAGCTCTCAAATTCTTGGCCTCAGGAGCCTGTCCACATCAGATGAACGACTCTAGTGACGAAGTCTGCACAGGCTCCTTTGCACACAATACGTGTTGGGGGATGACTGGAAGACAAATGAGATTCAATGGCAAGAAATGAGAAAAGCCTGTTTTGTCCCCCTCACCTCCTCTGTAACTATTCCAGCAGATGTTTCTCGAAGTATTTTTCACTTAAAAAGACACTTTGTTGTGCTCCCAATGCTGTTCTCTCTGACCTCCTGCGTTCCTAGTCTCACCATCTACACAGTCAGCGCTTCACGTCGATTATCTGGCTTGACGGCTGGGGAGGGTCGCCGGGCAGATACCAGGACCCCCGAAAGGTACAGCCAGAGCACAATGGAGGACCCAGAGCACAGTGTGGGCTCCCTGTGCTGCTCATCACAGGCGGCCGGGGGACTCTCGGGGCACCACGCCTGCTCTTTCTGCGTGAAGACCACGGCCCCAGGCGCCCCCTGCCAAGCTGACCTCAACGATAAAAATAGGGTTTCAGGGGGCTCCTCTGCCTGGCTAGTGTGCTCGGGGCTGCTTTCAGTCATGCATCTGGGGAAATCATAAAGGCCACGTCGCGTCTTCTGGAAGAACAGACGGACGAAGGACAAAGTCAGAGGAACAAGCTTGCTAAGCCCGTTTCCACCCTTAGTCCAGCCTCGCCAGTAGGTGGCGCTGTGATAAAAGCCATCAAGAGACGCCAGCCAGACAGGGGGTGTCCCTGCTCCCCAGGCTGACCTGGCCCCCCCCAAAGCCAGCGTTTGGTGGGCACACTCGCAGCCACACGAGGCTCCAATACCAACCAAGTTCTAGGGTCCTCAGCGGGGAGCATGGGGTTCCCAGCAAAGCTGCAAGCCTCCTCAGGCTCCCCACCTCCAAGGCTTTCCCCACGGCCTGGATTTCCCCGCAGGAGGGGAAGAGCTGGGGGGATGCCCTTCTTCATCTCCCCAGGCGATCCCAAGGCTCAGGCGCCTTCATTTATTGAGCACCTCACATTTTGTTACCAGGTGTATCTGTCATCAGATGCTGCCTCCTCCGAGCCAGCGGGGAGGCTCGCACAGGGAGCAGGCCCGCCCGTCCACCCTCTCTGCCTCCGTGGCCCTCGAAAGCACACTCGGCTGTTCTCCTTTGACCCACATGCACTTTCACCCCAAGTTCCCAGAGGGCAAAGCCTGTCCTTCACCTCCAAAGCACCTCAGATGTAGCGTGTGCTCAGAGTGGCTTAGCCCCAGCCTTGCCGCGCGCCAGCCGCAGGAGCGAGCAAACGAGGTGTCTGGACAGGAGCCTTGCTGGACCCGGGGGGTGCTCCTGGCACCCGGGGTTGCTGAGGGGACCCGCTATGGACTCCCCGAATGACTGCCGCCTCTGCTGACCACACTCAGGGCAGCAAGCGCCGACGGCCGGGAAGCGAGCGAGGGGTCACATGGCGGACTAGGCCCGTCCCCCCCGAAGCCAGTCGGCACAGGCTCTGGACAACCCGTGGGCCCACTGTGCCAGCATTATTTCTGCTAGTGCTGGCGCAGCCAACCATGTCCCGTTCTTCACTGTTTACATAAAGCTGTATTCATCTGTTCAGGCGAGGGAGGGCCCCCGACAACTGGAAATAAACGTGGCTCTGGAAGTTCTTCCAGGGATCTCCTCTCTGCGGTCTCTATCCGCCCCCACCCGGATGCCCGTTACCTGAGAAGGAGAAACAGGAAGGCCAAGAGCTGTGATTTATATCGTCAGCCACAAGGCTGACTGCAGGAGCCCATTCAGTGTAGATTATTAACCTGCTGGTTACTTTTCCAAGTCTGAGATACCTGGTAACCCCAACCTTGCACTCATTCGCCCTAAACCCAAGTTGGCCGTGATCGTTGCAATATACATCTGGCTGCTGAGATGAAAGCATTTGTTGTCTTGTAAATTTTATATTTATTATAACAAAAATTATGACATGTTCATTTGTGCATTCTGCTTTAATATAACTCCTGTATGGAAATGGTCTAAGTGGGCGCTACACAATCATGCTGATTGTGGCAGCAGTAAGGAACACAATTAAAAAGTGTCTGCAAAAGTCAAGGTCTGGGACAGGAGGGGAGGGCAGAGGTTCAGAGGCCCTTGGGGTGCAGGTTCCCTTCTGGTGACCTGAGACCCACTTACTGACACAGAAGCAAACCTCGGCTGCTGAGTCGCACACGAGTGGCTGCCAGTGGGGGCGAGGCCGGCGCCTCGGAGGGGGTGGAAGTCAGTTATTTGCTGTGTCCTTACGCTACAAACTACAAAACATTGGAAGCATCACTCTACGACACTGAGCTATTTACAATAGAAATTTCTCAATCAACTGTTCTCTCAGAGAAAATTAGTGAATCCCAGTGACTTAAGTCACCTGACAGAGTAAAGCAACTCCTAGGAGTTAGTCTCCATATGCTACAAATGTCTATCATTTTCAAGACAAAAAAAAAAAAAGCCTTTCCCTCCCCCCCAAGAAATACAGAATTACAATATTATTAAATCATTCCGCACTGGCCACCTGCCCTGCCTTCCAAACAAACAACAAAAAGCCATTTTAAAAAATATTACATTATCATTAACTGTTTCTCTGTAATATATTAAACATTTTGCTCTTTGTCTTTACACATTTGATATGTTAGGGGAGGAAGTTAACAAATTTAAACCGTATCGGTAAAGCATCACTAGAAGAAAAGTGGTAATTATTAAAAAAGAACCGACCGAGGACGACCCTCCGGGGGGCTGCGGGCCGGGCGGCCGTCGGGTGGGGGGAGGCGGGGGGCCCGGCGCGGGCCGGGGGAGGGGGTGGGGGGCTGGGGGGCCGGGGGCCGCGGTCAGAGCGGGGTGTCGCAGGGCTCGGGGGCGGCGGGTCCGCGGGGCGCGGGCGCGGCGGCTGCGGGGCGGGCGGCGCGGGCGGCGGCTGCTGGTGCCTCATGAGCTCCTTCACCTCCTCCTCCAGCTCGGGCGGGATGATGAACTGGTCGTCGGGGTCCGGCTGGGCCGGGGCGGCGAAGTAGCCCCCGGGCCGGCGCAGGGGCGCGTCCGCGGCCACCTCGATCACGTTGTGGCTCCTCTCCGGGGGCGCGACCGAGCCGTTGGCCCGGCGGCGCCCCACGGTGCCCGCCGCGGCGGGGTCCGGCCTCCGGGGCGGCGCCGGCTCGTCCTCGGCCGCGCTGCTGGCGACGCCCTCGTCGCTGGCCTCGGCGGGCGCCGGCGGCGGCTGCGGCCTCTCGCGCTCCCGGGCGCGGCCGCAGTGGATGTCCACGGCCACCTCCACGCGGCTGCCGTTGCTGAAGACGCCCTCGATGGGCTCCTCGTCGTCGCTGTCCAGGCCGTTGTCGGAGAAGGCGCTGGAGAAGGTGGCGCTGGACAGCTGGCGCTGGAAGGAGCGCGACGGGCACACGGGGTGCAGCATGCAGCGCGCCTCGCCGGGGAAGGCGGGGCTGCTCTCGCCCGGGGCGCCCGAGGGCGGCTCGTCCGAGGCCGTGGAGCCCACCTCGCTGCTCATCTCGGAGGTGGACAGCTCGCTGCTGATCTCGGAGGCCATGCCGCTGCTGGAGGAGGGCACGCCCAGCCCGTCCGAGGGCCGGTCCTTGATCACCATGCTCACGGACGGCGGGAAGAGGCCGGGGCTGGGCGGCGGGCCGGCCCCGCCGGCGCCCGGCTCGCAGCAGCAGAAGCTGTCCTCGGGCACGCTGAGCTGCACCACCACCGCGCTGATGCTGTCGTGGCAGCCGTAGCTCTGCGCCAGCGTGCACAGCTTCTTGGCGGCCGCCAGCGCGTCGGGCACGTTGCGCACCGCGCCCACGGCCTCCTCGACCGACAGGCTGTCCCACAGGCCCTTGCTGCCCAGGATGAAGAACTCATCCTGGGGCGTCAGGGGCACCGACTGCACGTGCGGGCGAGGCACCACGCTGGGGTGGAGGAAGGTGTAGCCCAGGATGCGCGTGGACTCCGTGACTCCGTTCACCTTGCCGTCCTGCAGGAAGAGAGGTTTCCGCAGAGACGTTAGCGCGGGCGCTGAGGCCTCCCGGCCTCCTGCCGGCAGCTGGGGGGGGGGCGTGGAGCAGGCACCGCGGGGCCCACCGGGGAAGCCCGCCTGGCCCGAGGAGGGAGGGCCAGTGCCCACCGGTCCGGACACCCAGGGCAGTAGGCTGGGCGGGTCAGAAGCAGGAGGGACAAGAGCACAAAGCTGAAGTGAGTTATTCCCTGTGTCAGGAAGTGCCGGCCCTGGGAAAGCGAATGCCACTCCCCTGCCACACCAGCCAGGCTGGCCCGGCTCTGGACGCCTGGGACAGGAAGGCCCGTGGCCAGGTCACGTGTCTCTGACAGCACAGCAGCCCCAGGCACAGCGTCCACCCGTCCAAGTGAGGGGCAGACACTGCTCAAGTGTTAAGACGGCAGAAGATAGCTGAGGGGGAAACCTGGTGTGACTGGCGGGTGAGGGAGGAGAGGCTACATCCCCACCACGTCCTCAGGCCCTTTGTCAGTAAAAAGACCTTTCTCTGAAGTTAGAGGTCTTTACTCGCTGAGGCTCCCAGGTCCTCAACAAGCCTCTACCTGGGCCCGTGTTGAACGCCTTTTCCCGAGAACACGCCACTGTGACAGATGCACTTTCAGTGTGTACCTGGGGCGAGGCAGGTGGGCTGCTTCACCAGCGTCCTCTGAGTGTTTCTTCCAGGGAACATCCACTTCCTTCCCAGCCCTACCACCTTCCTGTATTCGGGATTTTGCAAGGTGTTTGCCTGGTGTGTCTCCCCAACTCCGCCACGGCCGCGCTACACTCGCGAGCAGGCCGCGCTCTCAGGAGTGACGGTACCGGAATGGGGCTGGAGCAAACTTTCCCAGAGTCTTGATTCAACCCGTTCTTCCCCAAATTGTGGAATTTGGCCAAAATTTCCCTTGTTGTTCTGCCTAATCCTGTAGGACTCTCTTACTCAGAAGGGACAGTTCCCTGCCTGTGAGTCTGGGGGGCACGCCCTGGGCAGCGAAGACACCAGAGGGCTGAGCATTCAGCAACGCAGACAAGAGTGAGGAGCAGGGGGGTGCCGGGGAGGGGAAAGGCAGGGTTCAGGGGCAGGCGTGGGGCAGGGACGGGCACCCTGCCTCACAGGATGGGCAGCGTTTCATTCTCTACTTCCTGCCCCACCTCAGGCTGACTTTGCTCCCTCACGGGGTCTACCAGCCACCGCATCCTCTGTTCCCAGGACATCCGGGGAGCTGGAATCATCGCCCGGACACACAGGGCAGGGCCCGCGTCTTTGTGTTCTTCCCATGGCCCTATCAGCTCACCTGGAGTCACAGTCTCCCCCCCTCCCCAGCCTACACCTGAGCCACACGCGTTTCTGGGGGTTTATCCACAGTAAGAGACTGGACACCAGCTGCGGCCAGATGGGTGTCTGCCGGGAGCACGTCTGTGCCCCACGTCACTTCTCAGACAACAGCAGGCAGATAAGATTGTGTGGAGAGCCAGTGACTGGAGGGGGCTCCTGCAGCCGCTGCTGGAAGCTGCGCTGTGGTGAGTCTGCCATCATGCCAACCCACCCCAGGCTTTCTCAGTGGTGGGGGTGGCCTGCACACCGCAGGGTGTTAGCAGCACCCCACCGCATGCCTGAAGCACTCTGCTCTGGCTGTAAGTAAAATGTCTCCAGGCGTGGCCATATGCCCTGTCAGGACTCACCCCTGGTGGGAAACCATTCATTGCCTCACTCAGGTGGAACCGAGGGAAGAGCACAATAAACTGGTTACCCCTGCACTGATTCCCTGGCCCCGAGGCAGGACAGGTACCTTACCATTCCCTCCTTGCAGGCTTCGGGAACTTTAAAGGGCACAGCCTGCAAGCAGCAGAGCAGGACATGACCCCCCACAGTGTGGATGCAGGGGTGCAGCCATCACGCCCAACTGGTAAGGATCAGATGGAGGCCCCTGGCACAGCCCTGACTCAGGGCGGCTGCGGAGGCGTGGTTTGCTGCTCTGCACACAGCCACGTCTTCAGAAACATGAGACAGGAGCTTCTCTGTGACACCTTGGGCCCGGCCCACCCCCGTCCTGAGGAAAACTTCTCTCTCACCTCAGTGATAATGGCCTTGTGCCGTTTAATTCTCTTCAGTTCCTCCTCACAGCTCATGATGTACGACCTGGACAGAGGCATTGGCTTCCCGTTCCGACACAGAACTGTCTGGCACTTGCCCACGTTAGCAGAGGTCAAGGTGAAGGAGCCTCCCAGGTCCACAGGGTCATGCTTGATGTGACAAAGGACAGCGGCACCTCCAAGTTTCTGCCCAGCTGTCCCAAGTTTCCTGGAATTCAGAGGCAGGGGGTCAGCACAACGGCACCACGCATCAGTTTTGTGAGGTCAACAAGCTGTATGAGCAGACGGGGCTGGGAGCAAACACCGAATCCAGGCCTCAACTGGGTCTCTTTCCCTGCAGCCGGCAGAGGAAGGGCAGCGTCTGACACACACGCCTCACAGAGGGGGTTTGCGCTCGACGGGGCAGAGTGTCCCTTCACCACCACACACCCAGGAGCTGCTATGGAGTGAGGGTGCCTCGCCTTGCGGCGACGCTGTGTCCTCACACCCGTCGGCACAGCAGAGACAGCAGAGACCGCAGGGCAATGGCCACTGCTTTCCCCTCCATCCGCTCCCAGGAGAAGGAAACTGAAGGGACCGCTTTAGCAGGGGCAGGCCTGAAGACACCAAACCCCTGACTCACACTCTTCAAGTTACCTGCCCAACCTCCGCCCTCTATGAGGATGTTGGCTTGTGAGTGTTGGGCCCTTCATGTTCCGATGGGTAATGACTTTCTGGACCAGTATTAGAGTCTATTCCAGAATATTCTCAGAAAGGACATTCTAATAACCAAGCTTGAAAGAGCTGTGACCTGGTCTTCAATTCGTGACCGCACACTTGAAACACAGAGCACCTGTGAGCTCCCGCAATGAACAGGAGCTGAGGATGTCTGCCACCGGCCCAAGGGGAGGCAGCTGCTTCCAGGCCTCTCCGGACCCTGAATGGTGCTGCTGCCAGAAGCCTGAGACAGACAGGTGTCTCTGTGCACAGGTGCAGACCCCTAGGTACTGTTCAGCCCATTTCAAAGAGTGGTCCAGATCCCAGAGATTGAAGAGCCTCTAAGCTGAGGGGATGTGGAAGAGGCAGAAGAGCGTAAACAATCCGGTGAAAGTCTGAACTCACAACAGACCTGTGAGGTCCAGCTCTAAAGATACGACTCTCCTGGCACTGACTCAGGCTCCGGCAAGTTGTCCGGATGGCAGCATGTCTCAAATGGCGCTCAGCGCACCCTGGGGCCCCACCTTCAGTAACAGCTGTGTGATCCCCGGACCCCACATTTTCTCACCAGAAGGCAAGCACTCAAAGAAAGGTAAGAGGACACACAGCAGGGGCTCCACGCCTCACCTCTGCATGACGATGAAGGTGTTGACCATGTATTCCTCCTCGTTTTTCGTTTTCTGCAGCTCTTCTGCCAAGATGTCGCTCATGGTGCACTGGAGGAGGTAGGGCACCTCCACGTTCCGGTCCCCGTCGAACACGCCGTACAGGGCCTCCCGGTTGTCGCAGAAGTTGTTCACCGACAGGGCAGCCACGCACAGCCTGCAGAGCAGCGCCACCGTTACCTGCGTCCACGGCCCCCAGCCCACGCCCACCCCGGCTCTCTTCTTCAGCTTCCCCGACCCAGTGCTTCACAGCTCGGAGAGGCTGAGAGCAGGGAAACTAGCCCCAGCTCCTCTGCACCAGCTGCCTTCTGCAAGCAAGGCATGGCGACGCACATGGCGCACCCCATGTGGTTTCTCTCACCCTTCTCAGGACTTCATCATAAAAGATACGACAGTGATCAATCTCTCCACACTCATTGACCAAACATTAAGGAGAACTTGCACATCAAGCAAAGATGAATAATTACAACAATGACAAAAATATAAGAAACACGAAGAGTATATAAAAACATGCAGCACCTCTAAAACTGACCAAAAAGCTGGAAGAGTGAAGGAAACAACAATGCTTAGGAAGCGGACGCTGAGGAGGGCAGGTCAGCTGCACCCGCCGCCCGCCCTGCTGCCTGGAGAGAACTTGGGGCTGTGGCACAGAGAGAAGCCCAAGAGGGGCCGGGCAGTCTCCCTGAGCTGAGGAGATGGAGTTGGGGTTGAGCCGGGCTCACAGGCAGGGGAGCAGGAGGAGGGAGGCGCTGAGAGCTCCGGAGGCCTGTGGAGTCTCCCACTTCAACCCTTGAAAAGGACCAAACTTTGCAAGGAACGTCAACAGAGTCCCAGGAACTACCCCAACGAGACACACCCTCAGGGGAGCACGGGACCAGCGTCAGAGCCAGAGCTGGAGTCAGTGCTGCCTTCTGTCCCAGAGAGAAGCCGCCAGCATGGCAGCCACCAGCCCCCCGCCCCCCGCCCCGCGAGGGCTATCCAGTTAGAGGCCCCAGCCCTGGACGGCCATTAGGGCTGCCTCGGGAGGTCCTACACCATTCGGCTTAGTGGGCCTGCGGTGGGAGATTTTTTTTTTTTAGAAAGCTCCTTACCTGAGTGAGTCTAACGTGCACCCAGGTGAGTATTAATGGTGGCCACTGGCGGAGCTCCTCCACTGTCTCCCCTCCCCTCCTCTCAGCACTTGGAGTTCTCATACCTTACTTTTCTAGCATGATCAGCAGCTCTTCACAAAATGCAAGCAAGCCTGAAGAGTCTGATGACAATTCTCAAGAAAATCAACATTTGCATTTAAGATAAGGAAGGTTGGGGGGAAAATGGAAAAAGAAGACGTTCAGGTGGAGAGTGCTGGCGGCAAGACACAGCTGACGTTACAGGGAACAGACACCAGAGCCCTGCCAAGCTAATTCAGAATATACAAGGAGTTTCATGGAACCACTAACTAGTCAATGACGTGAGTGATCTCCAGCGCCACAATCAAGTCTCCTTCTCTTTACCACCATCCCTGTTCTGCTTGGTAAACAGGCTTCAGAGAAAGATAAAGGGGCTTTTGAAAGGAGCAGAGATGCATTTCAATACTTATGCCTTCTCCAAACACTGGAGCCTCACACAGACATAATGTGTCAGTTACACTGTATCCTAGCAACAGCCTCACAGAGTATATGAGATGCCAAGCAGGGCCCTCGCTTGATGTTGGAATACGTGGTGGCCTCCCTTTGGGAACGTGCCCACATGAACGCCCCATGAGGAAGGGGTGTGCTAGCGCTGAAGAGGGGAGGCGGGCAGGAGGCGGCGCTCGCTGTAGGCTTTTACCCACTTACTTGTTTTTCACCCCTGAAGCTTCCGTGTAGCCATGGCTCCAGACGGCCGGGGCTCCCGATGCATCTCCCGCTGAAGGCTGATCGATCTTGAAACATCGGATGTTACTAACAAGAGAAGGAGTGGGGACAGAATTCATTAAATGCAAACACGTGCGAATTGCTACCTGTACGTGAGAAATGGAAACTGCCAAACACTCTGTACATACCATGTCTTCCTGGGTTTAATGTGTCTGAAATACTTATTAGCAACAAGAACTAACTCATCATAATGAAAACCAAGGGCATCGGCACAGGCTGCGAAATTAGTTTTTATCAGCATTCTGGGGTGGTTATTAGCAACTTTCACACACGCTGTGCTAGACGGTGCTCTCTCCTGGGGATGAAAAGGGCAGCTCTCACCCTTGGTTGAGGAAAGGACACCGAAGTATTAAGCTGGGTGTATTCTTACAACACCAACACCCGGATTTAAAAAGAGTGAAACATAAGCCACAATTATATTGTGTTAGGAGGACCTGAGAGACTTTGGCAGTGTACATCCCCAAATCCACAGTTTCTTTCTACCCACATCATCACTTCAAATATTTCACAAATATTAAGAACTTGCCAACCTCTGAAGCTTCCAATTCTTTTTTCATTTGTACAGCCACTCATGCTTAGACTAATATGACCAAATTACAAAGTAAATGAGTATTTTAATAAGTCACAGATTAACTACATATTTAAACTGGGAGACAAGTTCTTATCTCAGCTCCCATATGCCATAATTGAACCAGTGGGATCCAAAACAGAAATAATAAAAGTGTAACCTTCCAAATGGGGTTTATTAAAAACCAGCCTACCAAAAAGCATTCAGTACCCCAAAACAGGCAGTCAAACAGATGTGAAGTAGGTTTTTTAAGAAGCTGGCTACCACATGGTAAAAAAAAGTCCTACTGATTTGTAAATTGACCTAGTTCCTCTCCCCTTTTATTTAAACAAGAGAAGAAGCTTATGTATCATCTTTTAACACTGAAAAAATACCTTTGTTGTGACCCCAAGAACATAAATTATTTCTTTATAAATATTGACTATCTACCTTAAGACCCATTTAACTTTAAGAAGTAGATGAAAATGTCAATAGTATTCACTTTGATTCTAGAAATAGCTGCTGGAAATTTCACTGAAATTAAAACATATTCAGTTTAAAAAAGATTCCATTCTGAATTTCCAGAAAATGTTTCCTTTTCCCTTTATCCTAAAAACTGAAAAACATATAAATCATACTTGGTGCCAACAGAAATCCCAAAATCGAATTAACACCTCATTTACAGCAGGGCTATATATTCCCTTTTAAAAGTTTCCAGTTGTACTAGTCAAGGGAGGGGGGATTAAAAAGATATCAGCCATAATATGCTCTGCTTCTGACCTGGCACCAAAATGCATTCACGTAGGGCAGTGGGTTTCTCTAGGCACATCTTAAGACTCTTACTACCTCTCTGCTATCTTTCTGAATTCCAAAGAAAAACCTAAAGACATTTATATTTTCAACAGACCATAGAGCCTTCAAAGAAACAATTCCATTTTGTAGCCTGATTATTAAAGAAAAATAATCTTTAAATTCCCTATAATCCTTTCTAGTGAAGCAGCAATTTCTCATTCTCTAGCTAGCTGAATGCAGTGGCTGAGCAGCTGCTGTAGTGACCTGAATGTTGACTCTGGTACATCTCTAAATGAGTCCGGGAGCTGGAGCTCAGTCACACGGAAGAGGCCCTGTGCACTCACCCTGGCACACGTGGGGCACATGGGCCAACCCTCCACAAGCCCAAGCAGTACATTAGAGGTGGAAACCTGCCCAAATTACTAAGAAGCCACAACCTTCTATATATTAAACAGAAGGCAACGTTTCTACCTAAAAGAATTATGATTTCATTGTTTCTAATTTTTTAAAAAATGGGCGTGCACGCATGTGTTTCTCTGCAACAGCTCACGCTCCAGGGACCAAAACCCATATCAGAGGATGTACCGAAGAGATTTTCTCTCGTGCTATGAAGTGGTACGGTCATTCTTCATATTTGGTTTTACTTCTTTTGTTTAGTTGCATGGTGACTATTTCCCCGGGTCACTTTATACTCGTCCTAAATATAATTAGAAGCATCTTGATGACTATTTCTGTGCCCAAGATGAACAGCAGGCTTCAGATTTCAGATTAAATTTTTGCCATAGAAAATGTTGGTCTTAGTATATAAATATTTTAAAAAGCTTGACATGCACGGCCAAGACAAGTTATACCAATGCAGGGCTAAAACAAGTTATACCAATTTATAGTTCTCCAGCAACACCAATTTTAGAGGAGGAAAAGATAACATTTAAGTATTTTATTTAGTATTTCCTTGATATACTAATATGGATGGGCATGATCTTTTCATGTAAAAATCTGTTCTTTTGTTAAATGTTACTATGTTCTATTTTTCTTCTGCTTGAGTACTTTTCTTACTGACTTGTAAGAACATTTTCTATTAAGAGGATATTGCTTTTATTTTTCACATTTCTTGCCAAAGTGTCTTCTTCGTTTGTCATTTGCCTATTTTATTTTTGGTAGCCCCTAGAATCGGCATTTATAACTTTTATGTATTAAAAAGTGTTTTTTATATAACTATACACGTCATAAATATCAAAACTAAGCTACATAGACTGATTTCTCTTCTTGTGGTGCTCCCCTCCCCTTTCTTGGATGAAAAAGCCCTTTTCTGGCTTGTGACTATATTCATATGATTTCTGCTTACCTTTTTTTTTTTTAAAAAAAGATTTATTTATTTATTTATACAAGCACTGGGTACAGTCAGAAGCGCGGGAGGGTGAGAGAATTCATCAGAGTCAGAAGGGAGAACAGAGCACGCAGAATGACAAAGTACACTGCTGAGGGGAGCAGCGGGCGGCAGGAGAGGTCTGCGCGCCATGAGGGACCCTCCTCTGGTGGCCGGGCAGCTGCCGGGGATCGAACAGGCACTGCAGAGGCTGCGGGCAGCTTCGCAACCCAGCGCTCAACCGCTGCGCCACAGGGGAGGCCCTCTGCTTACTTTTAAACCTTATTTCATCTTATTGATTTAACTCTTTAATTCAGGTGTGAGATAAGAATTCACCTTTCATTTTTTTCCAAATAACAGTTTCCACTTATTAACCAATTTTGATATAATTACCAATTATATCATGTGTTATGTCATACTTGTATAAATACTCAAAAATTACCTGTATAAAGCTGAAATATATCTTGTTAGTGATGCACTTAGTCCCGAAAAGAACCTTAGAAAGTATGTCGGCCATTCTTCTCATTTTAGAGAGAAGATGGAGGTCTGGGCAGAGAGATTTGGGCTGTGGCATCAATTACCGACAAATAGTCAAGATCCCTGTGGCTTCCCTGGGACACTCTACTTAGGGAGTACTTGTCAATTATATGTAGAAATCAATGTACTCATTAAGTACTTAGAATGTCAAAAAAAATAGGCTGTAAATGGCTAATTCCATCTAGAAATCACCTTAAGGCTTTTCAAATTTTGGGTTGCACTAAAGTGCATTAGTGCATCTAGGATGGCATTAATAGATCACTAAGACCACGCTTGCCTTCAAATTTCTACTTTTTCAATATTTCCTAATGACCAAAGCTGATTCCCAGCAATGGCTATCACAACAGTGTCTCAGTATGTGTTGCATCCACAATGACTAATGTGTGCCAATGTCCAAGACTGTTACTTAAAGTGACACTGCAAAAAAAGCTTAAAAATTCCAAAAAATTTAAAGAAAAAAATAATGACTACTCATAAACCAACTACCCAGAGAATGGCACTACTGACATTGTTTTACATCCCTTCTGGCCTTTTCTAGGTGTGCACATGCACACAGTACCCAACGCACACAAATTTGTTTTGCAAAAAGTGGGACTATGCTATGCAAATTACTTGTACACTCGCTTTCTGCTTTCTACTTAACATTCTATACAGGTCTTTTGAGTTAGTAACATAACTACATCATCATTTAAAAAGGTAATTATGCTCACTTGTGGAGCATAATTTATTCAAGTGTATTGACAGACATTTAGAGTTCTGTGATGATTCTCATAAAGATGTCTTTTCTAATGAAGTGACCTTTAATGTTTTACTTAGTGAAACTCAATCTGTAATTTTCTTTTTTTTTAAATTTTTATATTCCCCATACAGTTGCAACCCCGATTTTGACCCCAATCCCTCCTCCCCCACCCCACCAAGAGTGTCTCTGGTTCATAGTTGTTTGTTGATTTTGATTTTTTTGATAAGAACAGCTACTACACTTGATCTTAGCCAAAAGGCCGAGAAACGATCAATCTGTAATTTTCTATTGACATCAGTAACGACACTATCAGTGAACTTTTCTGAAACTTGGACAGAACTTCACAGGATCTAACTACTCTACACTCCCAGTTTTGTTTAAACAATCTAGATTTTAGTTCCATATTGTTACTTATTCCCACAATATGCCCGTCTTTCAAATTCCTTTCGTAACACCTGCATGAGGCATCACCCAAGCAAGATGTGAAGTTTTATCTTGCGTGTTCTCTCCATTTCCTCATTGTTTGTTATTCTCATTCTCTTTTTGTCTAGATACTTCCTCAAAGATGTTCCAAAGGACATGAGTCTCCAATTATTTGCAATATTTTTGCCCTCCATTTTAGTGAACTGCAGACTCGCAAATCACTTCACTTGAAATGTGTGCAGACACCGCTCATGAAGGCAACAGATCCTCCTGTGCTGTCAAATGTTTTTATTATGTTGTCTCATTGCCAGTGGATACTGAGTGCTTCACTTTAAAACACTTACTTCAGCAGTTCCAGGGTTTTGTGATCGAGGGCTAGTCGGGGGTTTCCAGTCAGATCTAGTTCTTGAAGTTTCGGAGGCAGGTTTTCTGGTAAAGTGACTTCGCTTAGCTCATTACAGCTCAGGTCCACGCACTGAAGGAATAGCAGAAACAGGAGAAATGGTCTGAGGAGACGGGTCAGGTGGTTCTGCAGGCAAGTCAGCCTGACCATCCACTACACTATACTGGCCAAATGCAGGAATCTACACTTGTCTGCTTCTCCACCATAAACATTTAAAACAGACTTTGCTAAATGCAATTAAATTTTTACTTTGAATAACATACAAACTCCATGTGACGTAGTCTCCCCATCTTTATCTGTTTATCTCTGTATTAAAAAAAATAAGTATTAATTGAAAAATCCTCTGGGCAACAGTTTTTCATAGAGCTCACAAAACCTCTGGACCCATCATGGCCCTGAAGGCTATACTTATAAGATCAAAATGGAACTTTGAAAGGCTTTCTTAAAACAAAAACCAAGAAACACACAAAATGTGTAGCAGGCAGGGAACATACACTCACAAAGGAGAAGACACTTCAAAAGAAGTTAGATAAGAAATTGGTAAAAGACAAAACAGCTGAGCCTGAACTCATCTGAGCAAGAGGACTGAGTCAAATACAGATCCTGCTCTCCTGGGATTCTACCTCTACTCACCTCATCTCACTTGGAAAATCACCCAGTGATAAGAACCAACTGTGTGTGTAGTCTGGGAATGGGGATAATACTTCCTCTCTCACAAAACCAACATGAGGCTTCAGTGAGGGTAACCCTACTGAGGCACTGGCCTGCTGTTTCCCCAGAAGAGATGCAGGGGAGAAGGCTCACCATGCCTGAGGGGGAACAAGAATAACTGGCATTTTTTTCTGAAAAAGAAAACGTAATTTGACAGACGGGGGTAGAAAACATTCAATTATCTGGTGTGAGCTGGCATCTTACGATTTTTAAAAATGCCTAAAGAGTCTATTAAAAATCTTAAGATGGTTTGAAAGGCAAATTGTCCATGAACTTGTCTTAAAAAGTAGACACAACCATCTTTATTGAGAAAAATTATTTAAAAACATAAGCCTATTATGGGCCTCCCCTGGTGGCACAGCGGTTGAGCGCTGGGTTGCGAGGCTGCCCGCAGCCTCTGCAGCGCCAGTTCGATCCCCGGCCACTGGGTGAGGGTCCCACAAAAAAACCCAAAAAAAAACCATAAGCCTATTATGGATTGAGAGTGGGGGGTAGAAGTTGGAAATGAAAAGCAAAATTTCTGGAGGAATATATTCTCCAACTGACTTCAAACAAATACAGTGTTTCCATATGAACTGTTTCATATCCTTGCTCCCACACTGTAGCAATGATATAAAACTCTACTGCAGTTTTACAGAAGTAAATTTTACATTTTTCTTATGAAAGCTCTGCAAAGACATTACAGAAAGTTTGACTAATAGAAAATTTACCACCCTAGTAGCGTGCTAGCATTCTGGGCTTTTGTTTTTTTCTTTCTGATAGCCTTAATATGAACATCAAAAATCCTTTAAAAATCATAAATGTAGGTATAATTTTGTTACGTTACTCAATCATTAATCTATCTGCTGTAAGCACGTTCCATGTCTTCATTCTCACCATCACTTTCAAGAGTTCAAACCAGTCTGCGTAGAAGTGTTGTAAGTAGAAATACAATATTACTGATCTGAACCTAATAATGGGGAATTGGGCATCTCCTTTTTGTTTTGTTTTCACAGTTGTAAACTGGCTGCATGAATACTCAACTTGGTTTTAATGACAAACTGTGATAATCCTGGTTAACAATGGGCAACTCTTTCAGCACAGTCTGTATCTATCAGCACAGATAAGACAACAATGGTGTACACACAATGGGCTGGACAGTGATGAAACATGAGCTGAAGGGCCAGGTGTGGATCCCTTAGAATGCAAGTGGTTGGCAGGCACCAACCCAGGGGTAAAAGCACGCATTGGGAGCAAGATTAGTCTAGAACACTACTGAGTTTACAAACTTCTCAAAAATCCAGCAGATATAAAATTGCTCATTCTTTAAATTATCAAACTATAAAATGAGCTCATGAGGGTATTTATTTGAAAAGCGAATGTAGGCAATGGTAACGCAGATCCTCTCAGGCATGGGGCTTGCCGGCTACTCCCCGCCAGGCGCGTGTGGTCACCAAGTTCTCTTCCTTTTAGTTCCGTTATCCTGGTTTCTGGCCACATCATGTTTTCCCTGGAGCAGCACCACTGAGTCCTAACTTTGCTTTCAGTCTCGCTTCCCTCCGACGCTCTGCCCCCAAAGCTGTCGGGGTGATTCCCTGGGCGGTTACTCCAGCCCATTGCTCCCCACTGCCTTCAACCTTCACTGAATTCCTCAGTAAGTCAAATAAAGTCCTTTCGGCACTTACTTCCTCAAACACTCGATTCAGCGATGTCAAATTACTTCTAGTTCCTGTATTTGTCATGTTCTCCTTTGTAGTCTTTGCACATGCTATTCTCTGTAAATGAAACTCAACAAACTTTCCTCGCCTTTTTCCTGCTAAAATGTGTCATATTCTTTTAAGACTCGATACCCATTCTACTCTAATTTCCATTTCAATTAAATGTCTTTTTATAAGTATCTGCTTAGTGATTTCTCCCACTAGACATGACCTCCCAGACAGCAGACGCTGTTTCCTCGCAGCCTGTATCCTAACTGCAGTGCGTTGAAAAGAAGATACTCGTGGACACATGATTTCCTGGAAAGGTTAACAAGTAAACAAGCGATTGCTGGTACTTGATAGACAATTAACTTTGAATGGGAAAATGAATCTTATAACAAAGTCCATCAGCAATTACATCTGCAAGATACACATGCATAGGTTACATTCATTCTAAAGTAGCACTGTGATACAATTCTGATACATTTTAATGTGACTGCGTATTTCTGCATGAGAAGACAATTATTTTCTTAAATGGCAGAGAAACAGACAAACTACCTTTTACACACTGCAGGAGGCTTGTTCCTAAAAATCCTGGGACACTGGTACATGGTGCCAATCATGGTGTTGACACAGGGAGAGTGCTTGGCCTCATGCACTATTTCCTATTCTATTAATAGTTCTTAATTTTGGTTAACTGTTGAGGCTCTCAACATACTCTTGTTAATGGAATTAACCATAACAGAGAACTTGAAGGTGAGAGTGGTGAATAAAAGTGCCAATATACTGTTAGTTTATGGATGTATCTCTGTTTAATGCACTAAAAGCTTCTTGAAAACACACTGTTGAACAGAATATCAAAAGCTACCTTTCCTTCTTTCATGCCTATTCTAAGATTACTTTGTTATACTACAAAATTATGGTAAGGCATACTTGCAACAGGAAAAAAGTGAGCTAATGTATTGTTGAGAAGGAACCCATGATTTAGAGGAAAATTACTACTAGTACATGCAGATCAAAAAATCATGTATCAGGGAAAAAGGAATACAATCTGATGTATGGTTTAATTATCACAAAAGCTCAAATATCTTTATAATGATGTTTTCCTCACTAAACATTACAAAGAAATAGGCCTATCAATTTTCCTAGCAGTGTGTTATACATCATCTGCCAAATAGCTGCCTGCCCAGGCTTGAAACAGCAACTTAATCTACGGGATCGAAGAGATTCTATGGCAGCGCGCTTCTCCCTTCTCCACACCACAGCCAGCTCATCTCTGCTCCTGAACCACCTTTCCAGTCCCTCACCTTCACAAGGTTAAAAACTGCTGAGGCACAACACGCGTCCTCCCAGACCAGGCTCAGTCATTTTCGAATTTGAATTCGTAAGAAACAAACCCAGGTTTTCATTCAAAATAACACTTATTAAATTAAAGCACATGCAAAGTGGCAGAAAACAAGCTAGATATCCGGACTCTCCAGAGATGACAGGCATGGCCTTGTCCTTAAAAGAGTCCAAGGTGAGAGGGGGAAAATATACAACACACCCCAAAGGCTATGATGGAGGGAGCCCAGAGCAAGGGGCAGCAGCTGAGACCTCAGGGAGGACTTTCCAGGAGCGGATTTTGTGATGTTAATGAAGCGGATGAGAACAGAAGGGCCTTGAGGAAGGGCTGCGAGCATGCACACCAGGCAGGAGACAGACCCGCTCGTGGTGTGCCAGGAGAGGTTGCAGAGGTTGATGGGCTGAGATGCTGGGCCTGAGAGTGAGGATAAGGCTGTGGAGGCAGACATGGCTGCAGCATGTGTCGCAGTCTAGGACTACCTCCCTGTTTTACAGTGACGTGAGAATTAGAACATTCTAGCTCAATTAAAATAAACTTACACATGTGAATTATTTCTCATTCTATAACTTTCAGTCAAATTCTCATATAGCACTGGAACTACTTAAGACACTTAAACTACTTACATACTGTTCCTGGTAATGTGAAAGACTAAGTGGTCATTACGTGGGATGGGTCATGCAACTTCGGAAATCTATTAACTGAGGGAACAGGTCTAAACCTACCTTTTACCTTAATCACAGGCCCTGAAGCCAAAGTTGAATTTCTACATAAAATCATCTTTGTGTTATACTTATTCAGAAATCTCTCTCTCTCTCTCTCTCTCTCTAAACCTTTCAGAGAGTTGCAGAACAAAACCTTTAATTTGTATAAAGCCTTCCTTTTAACTTTACATATACATGCTCTCTAATTTTTTTCAACTTAAGTTCAGATTTAGGAAATTATAGGGATAATAATTTGATAATAATGACAATCAGGGTAAAACTTTTTAAAAATCCTCCTTCCACCAAATATTATTCTCTTCCTGCAAACAGTGAATGGCTGTAAACACTGAAACTGTGTACAAAATTTGACTTTAAGAAAGCACATCCTATATAACCTCAGCAATTTCTTTATATCACCACCTCTTAAAATTTGGTCATGTGTGCCCCTGTGGGTGCTCGGTGGTACCTCAAAGTTACTCAGTGTCTGCTCCACACTTCTGGGCACTTTAGTTGTATTTAAAGATTTATGGAGGGAGGAAGAGCCTTAACTTTTACTTTACAACTAAGAGAAACGGTAAAAAGCAAAGCACAAAATTAGTCTGTAATTTTAGATGGAAAAGGAGACTTCAAAGAAATTTA